TGCCAGTTCCTAATGCCGGAGCAACAATACCAACGGCTATATGAATAGCATTTTTACCATCTATTTTCTGCGCATTATGATCGGCGTTATCGCATACATACTGGGCAAAAACTGGTGGTGTTATTTGAGTTACTTCAGCTGACATCTCAGCTGACATGCAACGCTACGTCATAATAAGAAACACAAACTCCCAAATTTGAAAGAAGATTGGCAATCAGCTTCGAGTCACTTTTACGGTTTATATACAGGTCAGTTGCATGATGGAAAATAGAGACAAATAACTTTGGACGGACTGCAAGAACGATCGAATGCGCTAAATAATTTTTCTTCTTCTTCTTCCGTTTTCTTCTCGCTGTTGTCGAATGACGCAAATTCCTCTTCACTCTTTCGATCACTTGCTAAGGTTTCAATACTAATCGATACGTTGTTGCTTCTTGTTTCGTTTTTCTTGACAACTTTATCCATCATAACTACACTTAAAAATATGTTTAAGTAAGTAGGGATATCTGTTTCAACATTATCTAAGACATTTGCTGAGGAAGGATAAACTTTACTGTCATAACTCGTACTTCTCATTTGCTTACGAATTAATTCTGCCGCCGTTTTAATGATTCTCAGAAGTTCGTCTTCTTTCTTCTCTTCTTTGTGTAGAGAGCAATATTCATCAACGGGTAATGTTTCTGTGCCTGAGTAACAAATTATTGTCTCTTTCCGAGCGCGTGTCACAATTGTAATATCACCTTTATAATTCAGCTGTAAATATTTTAGAATGGTTTTGTCACATAAGGCGTTGCTTCCAATTCGTTTCAATTCTTTAATTGTAAATTGACATCCGTCGTGATTTTCTATGTAATTATAAATAGCCTGCGTCGTTTGGCCAACACCTGGATCGGGAGTATGGCTGAATATCAATGGTCGTGGAATATATTCGAACTTGTCAAAGCAATTTCTATGATAACAAACTTAGCCTCAGCAGTTGCTCCTTTATTGAATTTATTGTATCGTCTGAAATAACATATTTATCACAATTCGACTTTGCCCAGCTTTTTTTTTTCAAAAAATACACAAAGAAGAAAAGTCAAAACATTCGATTGAGAGTGCACTTGATCGGGAAGATCTTCCAGAAGCAGGAGAATCAGCTACTTCCGGAAGTTTACCTTTCTTAGGCGAATATTCTAAGTTGCATAGCTGATGAATCACGATTTCAGTTTCGTTGTTGATTAATTCCGAAATTTTATCCTTGTTTTTTTTTACTAAGCTCACACAATGACTTAATGCCCTTTGCTTTTACTGTTTTACAGGGCCCACCACTTAAAATTCTCTTGCAAGTAACATATTTATGAAAAATTATTATTTCAAAATATTGGTGAAAAGTGTTTGTTAAAAAATAAAATCAGAAACCAAATTCAAGAAATAACGAGATTCAATCAAAGCACAAATAAATGAAGAAAAAAATAAATTTACACAAATATAAAAGACACGCACCGAATATTTTTGCCACGTGGTATAACAAAATATAACTACACAACTGCACGTAACGACTATTCACTACTAAATGACCAAGTCCCTAAATTAAGCAAGCTACAGCTCAGTAAACCGGTGCAGGTATACAATTTAAAAAAAGGACGTTCTTTACTATAGGCAGCTGCCGAAAATGAGATTAAGGATGCTACGACAAACATCACACTATGTATCCATTGAAATCTAACACTATATTTAAATATAAATTTTTATTATTAAAAGTAAAAATTGTGAGAATCAGAGCATGTAAGAATAAGAACAAATATTAGTTAATAGTGGAAATGAAAAACTCATTAACCAATAAGGTTGAAAATATAAAAAATATATATCTGAATAGTCCATTAATAATACAACAAAAAAGACCTGAACCATAATTCTCATAATAAGATGTAGAATATGCAAATTTTTATAAACAAATTAATTGGAAAACTCAACTCATGCTGCACAAAAATGACTTGAAGTCTGTTCATAGATATAAGAAAGTGATTATTTGCTTTTGAATTGGATTATCCAAGGGTTGTCATTAACATACAATGCAACAAGGTTATTACCTAAAGTTTCGGAATTTAAATGCAGGTAAAATTGTGGTTCGCAATAGAAAATAATTCTATACCTAACTGTTTTTAATATTCTTTGGTTTGGTATACTACTTAGTTTAAGTTTATTAGTAATCATTCTTATTTCTTGTGTAATACAGCGTGTATTGAATTGCGTACGAATTATGCAAAATATGTGCGAGTCTAGTGTATCTCAGTTATACGAGGAACAAAGCGTGCTTACATTAGATATCTTAACTAGGAGGCTTGAAAATGATGAAACCGGTGTTAAATGTGGCAGAACTACCTTATGGAAGTGTATTCAACACATGGGTTTTTGATTTAAAAAAATTGACAGGCACGTTTTAATGGAATCTTTTAGATTTCGGAAATGGCGACTGGAATATCTAGAAAAAATTAGGATTTGCAGAGAACAACAAGGGCCAATTATATACTTGGATGAAACCTGGTTCGACACTTATGATACCCCGGAAAAGGTTGACTCAACTGAAGTGTAAAACAAACGCGCCATCAAAAAGAGGTAAAAGAATAACTATTTGGCATGCTGGCTCTAAAGACGGTTGTATTCCAAATGGACTTTCTCTGTCTGTAAAAAATATTAAAGAACCTTCTCTGGATTACCATGAAGACAAAAACGCTGATTTATTTGAAAGTTGGTTTAAAAACAAACTAGTTCCAAACATTCCTCCTAATAGCGTGATTGTAATGGACAATTCAAGTTATCGCAGTAGAGAGTTGACTAAAACCCCTTTCTTATGTGTAATAACGACATTTATTTTCACGAAGATCATACCAAATATCAATTAACTGAGGTTCTACAAAGTTTTAATCTACAAAAGGAATACGTCTGTGATAATTATGAAAAAAATCTAGGGCATACTGTTTTAAGGCTTCCACCTTACTACTGTATATTTAATCCCATTGAACATGTTTAGCACTAACTGAAATCTGTCATTCGTCGTAACAATGTTTTAACCCGTGTTAACTCCAATGTCCTCAAACTTATAGAAACTGAAGTTTTTAACATCCCACCACAAAGTTGGGCAAATTCTGTTAAACATATAGAAAAAGCAGAACAATCGTATATCCATATTGCAAATAATATAGAACAAATAATTAGAACAGGCGATGATAGCGATAGTGATACTGATATGTTATGTGAATAATTTGTAATTTTATTATATAATTATATTATATTGTTTAGTATCTTTCCTAACAAAACCCCAAATAATTAAATTCTAAGCAAAGTACGAACCTGTTCAGCCATATTTCAATCTTACAGCTTGCCCGGGTCTTTCCTAAATTCGCATGTTAGTCACTTTCTTATATGTATGAATAGACTTTACCTGCAGTAGTTGCAAAGTTATAGCCATTTGTTTGTTGACAAATCAAATCAACCCTTGGACTTAGTTATACAGAAAAGTTATAAAATTAAATAAAAATGAAGGAATTTTTTTTTACCTTATTGTTGCAGAATTTTTTTCTTTTTTTTTCTCTATCAAAAAAAATACAACAAAAAAAAATGGTTTATAATAAATTGTTTAATAAACAAATGAAGAAATTATTAATATATTTTTTTTGCAATTATCTAGAGAAATACGAATAATGATTTTTAAGAAAAAAAATTGTTATGTATTTATTTAAATAATGGCTATTTTTAAAAAACGACTATAAACACATGGCATAAAAAAATTATAAAAATTACAATATAATGTCCAAGATGGAAATAAAATCATAACTGGCTTAAAATTATTGAAAACAAATCGTTTAAATAATATTATTTCAATTTTTCTATTTTTTTCTTGATTAAAAATTAATAATTAATGAAGTAATACAAATTTTTAATGTTGTTCAGAATATTAATAAAAAGGACTGCAGGTGACAAAAAAAAATCTGAATAATTATTTAAAGATTTATATCGCCTTTTATGACTGCAAAAACATGTTAGTTAACAATAAAAAACCTTTTAGGAAAATGGTTATTAAATTTTTTAAATCGCGGGGTCATAATCTTTGGGGTCTGTAGATAATACCTGAAATTGAAGTTTTTTTTTAAACATTTAGTTGCACAAAAAAATTATTTAAAAGAGAGACTCCAATACGGCAGCGCTGCGCGCATGCCGACACTGCAGCGCAGGAGCCCATTTTCCATGTTAAATAAAAATTATAAATATTGGTCCTACGATTTCGGGAGTCCAGAACTTATTAACTGAAATTTTCTGCTCTTTCAGAATCTTTTTTAATATTTGACCTATGACTTATACTTTTTGAGAAATTTTTAAAAAAATACCGAAAGACGTCTTTTTCTGGATGCCATTCCGGATCGAATGAACTATTGATCATATTTTTCTGAGACTTATAACGCTTTTTGGATGAATTAATTCTTCCCGACCAGACTAAAAGGGAATTTCAAAATTAAATTGAAGCAGGCAGAAATGTCGATGTCGATATGATATGACAATGCGTATGAAGTCACCGAAATTCGCTCCAGTTAGAATACATTGTGTCCGTTATAACAAGTTACTGCATTAACTTTCGCTATGTGGGGAGAGGCTACGGCCACCTTGCAGTTGTTATCTACCAACAATTAGACATGAGATACGATGACCAATATCAAACTTAGCTTTAACTTTTAAATGAAATAAATATTTGCTTGTTAAGTTGTGCGCTGTGTGACTATTTAATTTCATCGTTGCTTCTGATGAGTCTGATTCTGGTTGTTTTAAAAAGGTGACAATATTTTCTTGACCGAAACAAACAAAATTGATATGTACACTGTGGACTATACAAATCGAATTTTAAAAAATGTCTCCAGAAATTTTAACCGTTCAATTAGTTGTTTGTTTTCCTAATACTTTTGAAATAATATAATTCGGTTGGTTGCGTTGTTGAAATAATTTAGAGTATATATTCTCTTTATTAGTTTTCTACGAATTTCCACCTTCTGCTGGGAACGTGTCATCCCTTGAATCGCTCTATGCATTGAACTGCTCCACACCATTATGCTTCTTCAACGCCAGCAACAACTTCAGTCTCAACAGTACAGACCCTGAAGGAAATTTAAAGGATCCCATCACAGATGTAATTGTTATGGGCGTTTTATCAATAGTACTAGGGCTGATGATACTTGTTACAGTTATCGGTAAGTTTAGAAATTTATTCTTATTAAGAAGTTGAATAATTTAAGTTTTAGATTTTATGTTTAGTTAAACTAAAATTTCTCGGTCAATAACAATCGTACAAGGTCTTCGAGCATTATTAAAAAAATAATGTGATACATTACAAAAAGTCTCGGCATGGACGACAATAAATAAAATATGTATCAAAAGGCGACCAACAATGTATTGTCGTAATCTTTTCTATAAAATTTCGTTAAATATGAAACCATGTAAAAAATAAAACATATCATTTTGGTTATACATATGTACCATAGATGGAAAAGGGTTAGGGAAAATAGATTCATTTGCTAAAATTTAGATGCTCTAGTAACGGAAATCGGTGGAAGACTTTTTCAATATGAAATAGCACGCCACCGGCTAATTTTAACAGTTATAATATTGTTAATTGGTCTTCCAATTTTCTGATTTGCTTTTCTAAAATGTTTCCAGTATTTAGTAAATTACATCCAGGTACTCTGAAACAAATCATGTTTATTCACTATTCTGCGTCGGTTGTTGATGAATCGAACTTGCTGACGTTTGGCCAGTCACCTTGTTGGCGTCTTAAGAGCTAAACTGAAACTAGCTGGCATTCTACTCTGATACTACTACATGCTTCGTGACAAAGCTGAAAATCTTAATTTATCTTCTACCCAGAGTCTTATACAAAAATTTGAAAAACTAACGTCTGCACTAGTGAAACTATCAAACTCTTCTCAACTACCAAACTGTGGTAAATCAGTTCTTGCAAAAGGTTCTAACTTGGACCTTGTTCCACGTATTTTTCCAAATAAGGTAATCATTTAAAATGTCGAGTCTATCCTAACTAAACTGCCATCTCAAGCAGCTAATGAAATTCGATTTAAAACAGCAAAAATCCTTAGAAAATTCAAACTTTCTAAATCTACTATTCCAAAGCCTGAACGCATTGCTCTAAAATCTCTAAATTCTAATCTTGACATCGCAATTCTAAAGATTGCGGTCATGAACACAAGAAATATCAGAAAAAAATTCAAGATATTCTTACAGACAGATCTTATCGTCAACTTCAAAAACATTCTACGTCATCTATCAGAATCCGTCAAAAAGTATGTCGCTCATGACTCTAAAATTCGTCGTTTCTACGGACTCCCAAAAATTGACGAACCAGGACATGTTGTCAGCTTGCTTTGCTTCTCCAACATAATCTCTAACAAAATATCTAGCTTCGATATTAATACTCTTAACAGAGAAAACTTATTATTTCATTTGATTGAACTATTAAAAACAATTATATTAGATCCATACGACATTTTGATTGGTTTCGACATAAAATCCCTCTTTCCATAAAGTCCCTATTCCGAAAACTTTCAACATTATTTCAGATATATTAAAGTTCATTAATCTGGAGCCTTCTAATCTCTATTAAACGATGCTTTTCTGGAAGTTATTTTTCTTGTAACGGTGAAATTTATGAACAAACATCAGGAACAGCTATGGGTTCTCCCTTATCCCCAGTCATCGCGAATGTATTTATGGAAGCCTTGAAAAAGAAGGCCCTCGATACCTTCCAACTAAAACCAAAATTATGGAAAAGCTACGCCGAAATTTTGTTATTTGGCATGGCCAAGAATCGCTCCGAGATTTTCATAGCTATTTGAACTCTAATACACTCTATAAAAAAAAATTAGAACTAATAGTTATCTCCCATTTTAAGATATTCTTACCAATATATATATATATATATATATATATATATATATATATATATATATATATATATATATATATATATATATATATATATATATATATATATATATATATATATATATATATATATATATATATATATATATATATATATATATATATATATATATATATATATATATATATATATATATATATATATATATGGACTGTGGAAACACAAACAATCGCAAATGACGTAGAGAAGGAGCACATGACGAGGCAAAAACTTCAAACAATGTGCGGCACAGGAATAGACGTGAAGACGTTAAAGAAAATTTTAAATCAAGAGTGGAACGAGTCGTGTTTCTCTCATACATATATTAGCACGAAAAGCCTAGATCAAGTTGCAACTCTAAATGACTTGGCAGTAAATCTATCCGCTATGTTGCAAAGAACGTACCGGAAATTAAGAGATTGGCCATGGAAAACAAGCCTAAACCACAGAAGATTGCTTACATCGAGTCTAGCAGTAGAGTACAATTAGATGAAATAGAAGAACCCCAAGAAAAGCATATATTGCTTGTTGGAATAGAGGAGGCAAAAATAGATATGGATGGACTGCTAGAACTATATTGATAAACGTATATATATATATATATATATATATATATATATATATATATATATATATATATATATATATATATATATATATATATAAATATACATATAAATAGCCGGGGCGAGCCAAGACCAGAAGGACAAAGCGTCTGATCCGAAGCGGGCGGCTTAAATGGGTGGATAGAGCTCAATGCCGTAGTGAAGGCAGTCTGTCTAGAGAAGGTCACTCGAATAAATCAAACACAATTTTAAATATGGTAGATGGCTGAACCTAGCATGGATAAATTTACGGTGAAGGGGAGGGATACCCAAGTACTGGTCGGAGAAGAGAGTGGGAGAGCGCGCTCCTCCCGACCATCAGCATGCGATCGGAGTTAATCCTTATGAGAAGAGATCCTTGGTTGCTAGAACTTCACCTAAGATGAGAACCTTGTCCTTACCTGATCTGAGTCCACCATTTTTGGAGAGCCAATCGAAAAATAAAAGGAGAAGGGAAGAACTTATGCCAACACTATCGTTCAAGAGAATGCATCCGAAGAGCAACACTCAACAGATTGGCATAAGAATCTTAATGAATGAATCTTAACTGAACAAAAGAGACCATGAAATGTCTTATAATCAAGACTCCCAAGCAAACCAAGAAATCAAAGCTGTTATAAAACCGACAACGACAAGAGAGATGGCAATATAGACTGTGGAAATAGATACCCAGACTGTGGAAACACAAACAATCGCAAATGACGTAGAGAAGGAGCACATGACGAGGCAAAAACTTCAAACAATGTGCGGTACAGGAATAGACGTGAAGACGTTAAAGAAAATTTTAAATCAAGAGTGGAACGAGTCGTGTTTCTCTCATACATATATTAGCACGAAAAGCCTAGATCAAGTTGCAACTCTAAATGACTTGGCAGTAAATCTATCCGCTATGTTGCAAAGAACGTACCGGAAATTAAGAGATTGGCCATGGAAAACAAGCCTAAACCACAGAAGATTGCTTACATCGAGTCTAGCAGTAGAGTACAATTAGATGAAATAGAAGAACCCCAAGAAAAGCATATATTGCTTGTTGGAATAGAGGAGGCAAAAATAGATATGGATGGACTGCTAGAACTATATTGCGCAACGAAGAAAATGGCAGAAATTGCGAAGAAAAAACTTATAAATAAACTTACCCTCGTTCTGCAAAAAGAATACGACCTTGTGGAATGTCGTAAGACCGTGGAATGTGCACTAATAGAAGATGAGCTCGATGTTGAACTCTACATTCAAACACCAGTAGGACGCGAGAAGGAAGACAAACTGAAGGAGCCAAGAAGGAAACCAAACGACGCTATATACATAGAAAAAGGGAATCACTCCTATGCAAGTCTGTTAAAAATAGAGGAGATACAGTCGAGGAACTTAGGAGGTAGCGTGGAAACTGCAAAAATGTCCAAGAGAGGAGACCTAATACTCACTATGGAGAATGGCAGCAATAGGGCTGAAAACATAGTTGAAGCTCTAAAAAGCATAACTGGGAAAGGAGCAGTAAGACGGTTAGGAGGATCGGAAAGACGTATGGTTCTACATGTGCGGAACATCGATGCTGTAACAAGCAAAGAGGAAGTAGAGAGAGCTGTCCAAAACATGGTGGCTTGAGAAGGGGAAGAACAGACAGTCTCAGTCAGTAACATACGGCCAGGCTTTGGAGAAACACAGGTCGCAATGATTCTGGTTGACAAACAGACTGGAGTGAAATTGATTGAAAGCGGCGGCATAAAAGTTGGGCTTACAAACTGCAGAATCAGGGAGAGAATAAATGTGACTACGTGCAAGCAACTTGTACTGTGTGATCTGCCTCAAATCTGGTCACAGGACACAAACAATGCGATGCCCAGTATACAAAAGATATATAGACGGGTTTACGCAAAAACATAAAAATGGCTAATTTCGTCCAAATTAACTTAGGCCGTCGGCGTCCTGCCCATGATTTACTTGCTCCAACGATTGTGACAAACGACATAGATATCATACTGATCAGTGAACCAAATAAAAAACTCTGCGAATGAACAAACTGGTACCTAGACAATAATTTGGACGCTGCGATAGGAGTCATAAACATTAAGATCTACGTAGCTAAGAGTGGAAGAGGAAACGGTTTCGTGTGGATAGAATGTCTCGGACTAACAATAGCCAGCTGTTATATATCGCCCAATATCACACTGGAAGAGTTTACTGGTTTCTTGGAGAATATGGAGGATGCTATTGGCGTACGATGGAAGAAATGTATAGTGGTTGGAGATTTTAACGCAAACGCTGCTATTTCGGGTTCGTCTTCGAGTGACAGAAGAGGTGATATGTTGGCTGAATGGACTGCAGGACTAGACCTTATAACACTAAATGAAGGATCTCACCCTACCTTTTGTAGAGGAAATAGTGTATCCCATATTGATGTTACTCTGGTCTCTGGGAACATCAGTAGTTTCTTCTCAGACTGGCACGTGTCTGATCAGGAAACCCTATCGGACCACAACTATATCTTATTTAGAACTGAGTGTGGACTAAATATCAGAAGCCGTGACGCAGCAGTTGTGAGGACATTCAAAGGCTGGAAAATGAATGAGGAAAAAACTAAATATTTCATAGAAGACATAAAACGAAATCTGAGTACACAGGCCAACTCTCTGACTCCAGCAAAACTAACTGA